AAAAAAAAAAACCTAAAAATAACTAATAAATTATAGTAAATCGCCTTATATAGTAGGCGTAGAAGAACCTCGCTCGCGCTCCTCTACTTATCGTATTATACTAGAAGGTTCGTCTATAAAATAGACTATTCGTAGAGTATTATCTATTACTATAGTAGTATAAGAAAATAGTAATACTTCGCGACTCTCTTACTATAATATCGTCGAAGCCGGTTTTAGTAGTAGTACTCCTATCGACGCTATCGTTTTATAGTAAGAATACCCTAAAAGGCCTAAACTAGAAGTAGGGCTCGATTACTATATATAGATAAATAGCGGACGAATATTATATATAAAATAAGTAGAAGTAGTAGACTATTTATATACTAGATAATAAAAAGACGGATATTCTAATATCGAGTAAGTTAATATATAGTCTTATATAGACTATATCGATAAATCTATAGAAGACGAGACTAGTACGAATTATTACTACGTTATAATCTAACTACGCTTAGAGTCGTATACTAGCTTAGGAGATATAGATATATATTATATAGTCTCTTTAGTATAACGATATAGTTTCGATATACGTTTAGATAAACTTTATATCTATAATAATAGCTCGAGAGAAGAATCGATAGTATATTAACGATATCTTAGTAGTAGCTTATTAGCTATATAGTCGTATTTTTTCGACTTCGGACTAGTCTTAATAACTTCTATTTTTACTAAAAATATAGATATTATAGAACGATAACTTTATTAAGTTAGCGTTAGTAGAGAGTATTACTCTATATATATATTAGATTTATCGATTCTATAAATAACTTTAATAGTTTTCGATATATAATATAGATCTAAAGTCTACTATATTATCTCCTAGATAGCGATTAATACCTTTTAATATCGATCTTCTATATCTATCTATAGTAATAATACGAAGTCGAATCTATTCTCTAGACCTTTAATCTTAATAGCTATATAACTACTTATCTCTCTAGCCTCGTTAGCTATATATAGACTATTTATTTTCTCGCTAAAATATACTTCTTTTATATCTTCTACTAGATCTTCTTTCTATATTTTAAGAAATTAAATACGATATTTCTTAGTATTATACGTTTAAATAGATATTAATATCGACGTAGTAGATTAACGATAACTAGAAGTTTCGCTACTTATATCTCGATTACTAAATAAAGAATAATTAACTTCGCGAATAGTATAGATTATATATTTTCCGCCGAAAAGATATATCGAATTTATAGAAATAGACGTATTAGAGATAGATATCGAAACGTACTTTAGAAATATCGACTCTCGATATAAGTCTAGTTTAACTATACGAAGATATATTTCGTAACGTAGATTATTTACGATATCTATTATATACTCTATAAGGGTATTTCTAATATATATATTAGTAATATCTCTTTAACTATAAAATTCGATAGATCTTTACGAAATACGACTATATAGCTAAATCGATAAGCTATTATCGGGAGAAAAGAACTACTTCTAGTACTATTTCGCCTAGATAATAGAATTAACTACTATATCGCTAGACTTAATACTATAAATATTATTATTAATCTAGAAA